TAGTCACAAATAATTGATTTCAGTCATCTTAGCAAAACAATCTTCAACGCAACACATCTGTCATACTCATTTCAAATTTTTCAATTTATCGACAGAATGAATGTGTTCTTCAGAAGTCCACACACTGAACAATACTGTATTTCACTACCGGGCGGGTTAGCATGTCCGATGAAGTGAGTTCGACGTAAATTCATATAGATTAGGAAGTTGTCAGATTATGGTATTTCGATAGCATTAGATCGTAGCATGTAGTGTGGCAGCAAAAATTTGACTGGTACCTATACAGTAACTGTTCAATACAAATTACATGTTGTTGTCACGTGCTCCAATGTTGTTTTCTATTGATCGTCCTGACTGTCAATGTCACAGACTTCAAAGTTGTTTCCTATTCTACCTCAATTTACAAATAGGCATTATCTGTAACGTTTTATGACCAAAACCCGGATCTGAGTCCGGGGTCCGTATCCTCTTCTGGACTGGGACCTCGTACTCTCTGGATGTTTGTAGAATGCATGTTCTACTTCATATCAAGTCCTTTTCTTTGCTCAACGGGGGAGGGTTTGGGACACTCGGATTAGAGTGGCATGTCGTGTCGATGGATCCTCAATCTTCGCTCTTGTTTTCCGACTTAGGTAAACTCGTGATCTTTCAAGTATATCCATTGACATGTTTACTTGCTTTCCGTTATGCAAGCGATCTACTATTCAACGCAACGCATTTATCTAACTCATTTCTTTATTTCCTCTTATGGAAAGTCTGAATGTCCTTACAAAAAACAACAATACAGTGTTACACAGTTAGACAAGTCAGTATATGGGATTATATTACTTCAGCGAAAATTCATTAAGGTAATCATGTCATGGCAGCTCGATCACAGTTCATTGTAACTAATATTTAAGCATCAAAACTAGGTTGTCTACGATTAACCCGTAGACCATTCTGCTACTAGTATACTTCAAACTATGTAGATAATGTAGTATATGTTCATGAAAAAATCTATCATTATAATTGTACTTGTACTCCTGCTGAAAATTCACCTTACAATACATACGGCTGCAAAATTACATTTGCGTTCTAAAGCATTAAATATTGAGTGACATTAATGTAAAAAATTGTTATCTAATGTGTAATTCATTGAGTAGCAGAGAGCAAAAATTCAATTCGTACTAACGTCAACTTGCTGTCGGTCATCACTGCAACAAGTTTTTCCATGTGTCACATATATGATATCCATATCTATTAAATCGATTTTCACCAGAGTGAATGCTTTCTTTAGAAGTCCCCACAGTTAAATGTCACCTCATTATGGCGAACATCATATAAGGCATGCCAAACCATCCAACCAAGAGCAGCTTACTGAAGCATCACTACCACACCACTCGACATAATCCTCGAAAAATTGCGTATCAAAGAGCACACTCAAGAAGTTGTTGCAACAGGGAATACTCAGGGAATACTCTCTCAGCGGAGGTGGCTATAGCCCTCTCAGTGGACAGCTTTATGAAGGGACCTGATATCACGTACTCACAGACGGATTGTCATCTTCCTGGTAGACCAGCTGTGCCTGATACATGTCTCAAGACCTGCTAGTTGTTATGATTGCCATCTCCTCAGATCACTAACTCAATCTATCACGCTATTATCTTATGTTCCCTCTCCCTTGCTTACACTTCGGTTCTCTAGCTCAGTCTTCCCTACAAATTTATTAAACTACATTATCTATTATCTATGCAAGATGTAGTTGATGGTCAAGAAGTCTGTGGTTATTTATATCTTGAATATCATTCAAGTGATTCTTATTTTATTTGATAGTACCTACAAACAATTAAGGTTATCCATTGAGTTTCGCAGCCCTCACGACGGTTAGCTTGACTTGCACATACTCACTGATTATCATCAACGGATTTGATAAGCTGAGCCTAATACATGTTTGGAAACTGATTTCAATAACTGATTTAGCTCCGCTCGTTACCGCCTCTTTCTCTTCTCTTGTTCTTTGATTTCGGTACTCCCACACTGTTTACATTACCGATCAGTCAATTTATATTAATAATAAAGTTAGCATAAAGATTTTCTTTTCATTATCCTCCATATTCCATGTGAGAATTCACACTATCCATTGCGGATTAATCAGAAAGACAAACCGATTTGCTCTTCTTCGGTAATTAACCATGACACTTGACTGAGATAAGAATATAATGTCACACTTGGCCACTGACGGCATCAGGGGGTTGATATTGTGTAGAATTTAACTGAATCAGTTTTGAAAGGAAATCATAGTGATTCGGTAAATATAATTTCGAGGATTTTTCATATAAACTGTGCCAATCACACACAATATAGTAGTTTACTAAACCAATTACTTTCAAACAAGATTTTCATGTTCATTGACCGTATATATTTGCTAACAAAAATCTGGAGAAGCTTAGTTTAAAGTTGGCAATTAATAATTATATGTTACAAGATTTGATTGATATAATGTATGTAGTTTTAGAGATAGATATACGATTAGTTCTTTACATCATTGCCAACATCATCCAGAATATCACCATCGTTGTAAACAATATTCAGTTTACGGTTTTTAATAAATAGGATGCAATCTACATCCAACATGATGATGTAACGGCAAGTAGGTAATATTTGCCCATTGTTTAGGATAAAATGGTGAAGAGGGAGAGAAACGATCAGTATGTAGGCAACATATGGTAATGTTAGTAGTAGAAGCTGTCGGTGATGTATAATTTCAATCTTTAGATGGAACTAGGTGAATAGGTTATGTGAAATATGAATTGTTTCTCAACATCTCTCCCATTTCATTATTAAACATGAATAAGTTTGTGATAAATCCATGTACAAGTTGTGTTGTAATTTATGAAAACAAAAGTTGAAGTGAACACTTAGTAACACTTTTGTTTACACAAAAGAAAAGCATCCTGACTTAGTGAGCGACAGCTCTGTAGAATTATTTATAATATACATCATACGACATGACTGAAAAAAGTAGAAAATACAGATAATTCATGCAATGAATATGATTGTGCAACAAGTTGACGAGGCGGTTTATTTGCAAAATTATTAGAATGAAATAAATCGTTACAGTTGGAAAGATGTCTCAACAAGATTTCATGAACAGCTGTATAAGAAATTAGTCATGCTTTGGTACAGGTTGAGCACCATCATATCGTCGACCAGATGTTACACATTGTCCAGCGCGTTTATAGGTGGTATGGGGATTAATTAGTGATTTCAAGTAAAAAGAATAACTACGAAATTATAACCACTAACTGTTTTATTCCGATATCATTTTCATCATTTCTCTTCTATTTTACACTCTTACTCTTTTCATCGTGATTACTGTCATCTAACAGGGAATATATATACATTTATATATATATATATAGTGGAAATTAATGAGGCAGTGTTACATACCACTCAACGATTTATCACTATTTGATCCGTCTACAATTTTTACGTTACACATTTTTGAAACCATGAATCGATCAATGTTAGACCACCATTAGAAACCTGGAAGCACTGGACGGCCGTTTCGTCTTGGGATGGGACTCCTCAGCGAATTACCTGTGCTCACTTGTGACTAGCTTCGTTAGGGATCTTCTCCGAGTTCTAGTGGGAAGACGTGACCAGTGAAGTTCAACCTGTTCGGGTGTAGGCAATGTCTACCGAAGACTGTGTATGAGGTTGCGCAACTCCGTGAATTTGATCAAGTTAGACATTAACACCGTTAGATACCGGCTCAGTGGTCTAACGGTTAGGGCATTCGCGCACAATACCGAAGGTCCTGGGTTTGAATCCTGCGGGGTGCAGGAGTGGTGGATGCACACTACTGAGGAGTCCCGTACAAGGACGAAACGGCCGTCCAGTGCTTCCAGGTTCTAATGGTGGTCTAACATTGATCGATTCATGGTTTCAGAAATGTGTAACTTAACAATCTTCACAATCCTATAATGCAAATTTTTACGTTACTGAATTCATAGTGATTATTATAACTAACCAGTAGTACCGCACAATTGCTGAAATGTTTAGTCTGTATAGATATATGTGTTTATCCTCATTCCATTCTTCCTAAATAAATATAATGAAAATGATGACGTTAAAGCATTTATGAATTTGTTTTGCCTTGTGTCATGATGATACTCTGAATAACTAACTTCATCTATATGTTGTACGATCTCTGCATTTTAAACAGGTATTAGGCTTTATATTGTAAATCCAGTAAGCAGATGTGTGTTATTCATCATATGGAAACCTCGAACGTATATAAATAAACCACAATCAATGAAAACGGTCAATATTTTAATATGCGAAATTGTGTAGATTATCGCCTACAACGTGTTTGTGTAACCCTTATTTAGTTAGACCGATAATAAACTTATCCAAATCACTTGTTTTCACTGAAATTTTTGCTGTTCTTCCAAATACTACTACTCATTAAGTTATGTAACTTGTCTAGGTTCCATACTACTTCCAAACATTTTCACTCATCATCATCATTATTTCCAACCACTAAAAATACTACTGCTATTCTTGGTTAACAGAGACACACTTGACATAGTAGTAACCTTATTTTCGTAAAACCACTTCTGCATTCTATATTCCATGCTATGTGTTTTCAAATGTCATCGGTATAAAATCCTAGTTTCATTTTTGATGCTGGTTTTCATCAATGTATATTGCAGATGACAAATTTATTCATGATTTATTGAAAATTTTTTTTTGAAAGTTGATAGTTTTTCACAATCTAATCTGTAAGATGTTGTCGTTTACTGTATCTATTGATCAGTGTCTTTTAGGGGTGAGATTTATTACTATTGTGAATAGAGGATCATCATAATAGTAAAGACGCTATTATCAACCATTCAACAATGTTGTTGAAAACTATAATAACAAGACTGAAATCACCAAATCCAGTTTAAGTAATAAATAACGAGATAAGTAGTAGTAAATTTAATATAAAAAAAACTCACTTGAAATTTGATTGTTCATCTATCTATAATAATGATTGAATTATCACCGGAAATAATTTCGTTTTTAATTGATATACCATCTAAATATTGTTTGAATAATAATTTTAACTGAATATTTTCTTCTTCTAACATATTGTATTCTTTAGTTAGCGCTAAACGTTCTAATTGAACTTTATTAAATCTTTTCCAAAACATTTCTATTGGTAAACAACGTTTGATTGATTGAAAAATATTCTAACATCACAAATAAAATAATAAGGAAACATAAATAATACTCCAATGAGAAATGTTGTATTGAATATGTGAAAATAATTACCGAAACAAAATGATTGCTCTCATCTAGATAGAGTGTAATGTTTCTCCATTTCACACAACTAAATGGGTGTGTTTTCAACAGAATACATGTGAAATAAAAGTGAGAAATTGTATAATTTTCTATGGGAGATGATTTGGTTGGAGTTATGTATTTTCCCTAACTCTCACTCTCGCTCTGTCTCTTACAAGAAGTAATGTAGGAAAACTGGAGATTGGTATTTATTGGAAGTCGACTGATGCGGAACAAATTCTAGATAATCATCACAACTCAATCGTTCAAAACATTCGATTTGAAAGTGCGTAGAGACTGCAGCACAACTACCATACACACAAGTCGAATAAGTTTTCTTCAACAGGATAGTTATCTGTATTGATCAAACTTATTAGTGAGCAACATACCAGCAGGTGTACGATCCTATCATACATGAAAAACATCACAAATCGCAATCACATTAGGGAATGGCGTCAGTCTAACCAACAAAAATATCTACACCCACTGAAACGCAAAAACAAGAAAACTAAAAGTTTGACGAAACTAGTAATCAATTTATCACCTTTGTCATTTCTCCAATCTGTTCCTGTTTTAATGATGATGTTCTCACCAAACTTTCATCCTCAGCTAGTGAACATAATGAATAGAAAGGTATCATCTTCTCCTCTTCTGTTTCATACTTTCTACATTCTTCACCTAACTTGATAATTCTCTCCGCTTTCTTCAGTAAACTGTCAACCTATAAATTAAAAAAAAAGTATGAAATCACTGACAATCTAATCATTTGTGAATAACTGAAGCCCTAATAAATATACAATGACATCGATAACACTAAGCTTCTCTCTCTGTAAATCATGCGAAAACTCATTCACACACACACACTAAATCCTTTCATAATAGTGTTTATTTTTTCTCCAAATTACCTTTTTTATAGCTTCTCCACTTTCAACTGACATTTTAATTAACTTTTCGTATTGTAAATCATGTGATTTCTTCATTTTAAACTTCAACATTTGATATCGTATAATCAATTTGTCTCGTTCTTCTTTTAAATGATCATATCTTTCTTTGTAATCATTCGATGTGCTTGTCATACGGCGTCGGATAGCCGTTATATTTTTATTGATTTTTTGGATTTTATCAAATTGTCTTTGAATTTCTGAGTTTGTTTTATCATTTTTCGATTTTAAATTATCGAAAAATTTCATTTTTTCATTCATTGTTGTGTTGTATTGATCTGTGGCCTGTTTCAGTTCATATGATAAATCTTCAATTTTACTGTTTAAATTCATTCTCAATGCATGTTTCTCTTCTAAACTCTAATATATATGAGGAAAATGTGTGCAAATAATCACTATTCACTGTGTACAGTAAATAAATAAATTTAAGCAATATAACTTACATACCGAAAGCTTGTGATCAAAACAGAACTTATGTATAACAGTGAATGAAAAATGTGTTAAAAAGAACACCAAAAGAATGCGTTTAAATGTACACATATTAAAATCATCATAGAGTGTGGAGATAACCATGTCTCCATTCGAGTAGCAATATCCTAAGAGCACTATTTTCGGAAGTCTAATTCTTTTGGTCAATATGATGGTCATCCTAACAATCAATGACATGCACTTCAAATGATGTTTCCCATTGGACGTCCTAACTATCAATGTCACAGACTTCAATGTTGTTTCCTATTCGACCTAAATGTATAAGTACGTATTATCTGTAACGTTTTATGATCCGGATCCTTAGTCCAGAGTTCCTACCCTCTTCTGGACTCGAACCATCTATTTTCTGAGTGCTTGTAGAATATAAGTTCTATTTCATATCAACTCTTCTTATTCTTATTTACTCAATGGGGGCTGGGACACCGGATTAGAGTAGCATATGGTGTCGACGGATTGTCGCACTAGTTTTCCGAGTAATGAAAAACTCGTAATAGTTCAAGCATATCAAATGACGTGTTGACGTGCATGCGTAACAAACAAACCACCAACAAAACTGATTGCGCAAAGCATTTCATCAAAATTCACTGCAATTATATATCTAAACCAATGAATACCAACTCACTAGTACAAATACACCTTGTACTTAGTGAAGCCTGAAAATACTAGAATCCATCATATGCAGAGGCTTGTCGTTCTACAAAACTCAACAGTCCATGTTATGAGAAATATCTATCCTGTACCTCCGAGCTTTATTTTACCCTTCTGTAGCTAATATCAATATCTGACGAACATTATCTTCAAACAAGAAGTTAATAAAAGTTGTAGCATTTCAAAACAAATAATAGAGTGATGAGTAGGAACATTAGTATGTGCATAGAATAATACAATTTTAAGGTAGGAAAGCAATATATAAAAACGTGCAATTGACTCTTAACGATCCATCTCAATCTTCAGTCCTTGCTTACTCTATTTTAATTCCTTCGGCTTAGCACATTATTTTGTAGAGGATTATAACAAAACAGTCATATCATAACTCTCAAATAATTTATAGATCACCATTGTGCACGATCTCATCAAATGATCAATATCCTGTTTACCTGGAGAAATTTCTCGTCAACCGGATCACTTTCAACTAGATACTTGTGACTTCGTGACCTGGTAACTGTTTCATATTCCACATTCCTTAGACTACAATCGAATAACTACAATTTCGTCTCTGAACTCAGTAGAAATAATCATGTTCATAGTTACGTATTCAAACAAATTTTAAATAGCTGAATGTTTTGACCTTTAATTGTACTCGAACAACCAGTTATCTTGTGTTGCTTGATCGGTGCCTTGTGAGCAAGCGCGATTTTAACACTAATCACAACAGATATCAAGTTAAAATTCACATTAAGCTAAACCGCTTATTGTTAGTTACACTCTCCACTCCTGCCTGTTACATTGGAAGATTGTAGATTCAAGCTTAAACAGATTCCATCTGTGCTTCAGTGTTTTAGTAGTAACGCAACAGTTATCTGAAACTTCAAACTGACTCACGTGATTCGTCATTTCATCTTTTAAATTACTTTGATCCATCACAGCTTGATTCACTTTCGCCGAATATGTAGTATCCAAAGCAATAAATATGGTTTTCAAATCATTCAATTGTTTCTCATGTTGTTCCCTGAGAAATTTCTCTTCTGATTTCAAAAGAAGCAATTTATTTATTTATAAAGGACATGTAAATACAATTTACCTTCTAAGAATTCATCAACCAATGATTGCAATTCCTTTTCATAGTCACTTCTCAATTTTTGTAATCGTTGATTCTGCAAATCTGATTATCATCACCATCATAAACATTAAAATTGAAAAAATAACTAATCACATTTAGAAAATGCGATGAAATCATTTCATTCACATTTGTAAAAACAATACAGTTGATTATGCAATGATGATAATCAACTCGCTTTCTTTTGTCTATTAACACAAATTATTTTACATAAATCAAGTCAGTTTTTTGAGTCAGTCAGTCAGTTAGTTATTATTATATACTCACATGACAAATCGTGTTTAATTGAACGACTGATTATCATACATTGTTTTTCGAACTATATGCAAGAGTGTTTTATAGTATGGATGTTGAAAATACGATAAAAACCTATCAATAATTCACCTTACACAGTCGAACTCTGAGTAAAGCTAACTAGTTGTAATCATAGTATATGGTATATGTATGTTGGAGAATATGCTGAAGGGTTAATACTTGTTTGTTCTAACTGTCAACATCCAGATATGAAAACGATATGGTTTTATTGAGTTTGCTCTTCACTAACCCCATATTCAGCGTTCGGTAATCATTGACACTACATATAAATATGGTAAAAACGCTTATCAATCTTGTTTGAAAGTGATTGTCGCATTGAGCAAATATATTGTATGAATAAACATTACTTATTTGAAAAATCCTTGAATGTATTCATTCAAGCAATGACTGTTCATTCTCTTAAAACCTTTTCAATTACATTCTTCATAATATCATTGCCATGATTGAGTGAGTGGCCAAGTCAACTGATGTGATGCTCTAGTGAGGTGAATGATCAATTAGGCGTCATTTTGTTAATTTTAATACTATTATTATTATTATTAGACTGATTTGAGTAAAACAAGTTTATCCTCTTTTAATTTTCATTTTACTTGAAATTACTAATATGTATTTTAATATGCCTTATTATACTACAAACCAAATATCTCGAATAATAATACTCGTATCTTTAAGCGAATAACTGCAGACCGATCGTTGTAAACAGTGAAATTTTCAAGTTGAATCACTATCATTGTGAAATCAGTAGTGATGCGTTGAGTGTAAAATGTTAAATTAACTGACTCACCTATCAGAATATCTACATTTTCTAAATGAGAACGTATAGCTGTCAAATGTTGTTCATCCGCTTCACTAAGATTAGCAACAAGTGTTTTAATGATACTTTCTTTTCTATGTAAAAAAATACAACACATCAAATAGATGAGATAAGATAAGAATAAATAAACACTGACACTACACACTCACCGATCCATAATTCCATCAAATGTTTGTGATAGTGTATCTATAGATCTTTTCAATTCTTTTGACTTTGTTTCTCTCATGATAGCACGCCAGTAATGTGTCAATTTCATTTGGTTAAGTTTAGTAAATTCTTCTTCATGATTAAGTTTATCCTTTTTTATTGAAAATGAATTTTCAATAAAAAACAATAACTAAGAAACTGACTTGTAAATGTTCAGCTAATTGTGTAATCTTTTGGTTTTGCAATTCTTCTTCAGCAAGCCTTTTTTGTTCAAGATAAATTGCTCTTTCTTCATCTGTCATGTCACTTAGTTTACGAATGTTTGTTTTTCCTTTTCCTGGCATATTTTGACAATGTATATATATATATATATATTTCTATGTCGATTTTTATTTCACCAAATATGAAATTTGTTATTTTCGAACGAATAGTAAAATCTATTCATTGAACAGTGAATAAGAAAGAGATAAATTGTTACAAAAAACGTTAATTGCATATAAAAGTGATTATTCAGTCACATCAGCGTCTTATCAACAATTTAAAAATATACAATATGATACATTGACGGAAGTATAAACATTTCCAGCAATAGAAAAAAATTAACTACTGTAAAGTAAACGATAGAAAAACTTATTTTATCTGAATAAAGTTACAAGGTAGTAGTAATTCACGTGCATAAACATTCATTCAGGTGTATTGTCAACAATATAAAGTAGTAAGTGAGAGAAAATGAACACTAACCCTGAGATATGTAACTGACAAAAAAAGCAAAACTGAATGTTGAAATGCAACAAAACGCGCAAAATTCATAATTTCTGAAAGGATAGAGAGTGATAACTAGTGACACTAGACTACTTAAGATGTGGTCATTAGGAAGTTTGGGGCCTGAAATTGTTTACAGAGCTAAAACACATAAAATGATGATCGGCCTACTTGTCTACTTCGGACAAACCTTAATCTATTCTGTCAATGCTAAGCATAAATCTTCAAATTATTTTCAAACCTATTTCATTTCTTTTGCTGACAGGTTGCCGATGCCTTATTTCAACATCGGTAATTCGTTTACACACATATCATGTTATGACATAGCTCTCAGTTTTCGGATATTGTTGACAGTAATATAACAAGCTTTCTTAGCTAAGACTTAAGAATCTCACGCCATTGATGTATGAACAAAACAGACAACCAGGAAAACGAAACAATGAAATTGACGTATTACCTGCTGGCGCTAAGCAACTAAAGGTGACAGATCGCACACGCAATTGTGAGTTGGTTAGCTGTGGCAACCCATCTTCTATGTGTAGTTAGTAAATGTGATGTAAAGTGATCGATACAATCATTGAATTTTTAGCTAATTTAAAATAGTCGATACTGTTAGAGAATAATTTAAATCAGAAATCAATAAATTTGACGTACGTGAGCTGCAATACGCTATAAGCTATGATAAAGACAAATATTTATCATAAATACATAATGATTGATAAGTAAACGGGATCTTGATGTAATCCAAGACAAATGTTAGTGTCAGTGATTACCGAACGCTAAATATGGGTCCAATGAAAAGCAAACTCGATAAAGCCATATCGTTCTCAGATCTGGACGTTGACAGTTAGAACAAACAAGTATTAACCCTTCAGCATATTCTCCTTTGAATGCCGAGTTGGAGAAGGGTTCGATGGGAACAGTAGTTGACCATGAGTCAGGCGGTCTTAAGTGATACAGTAAATCGGAACAGAGACGAGGTGCCTGACAATGTCCGTTCGCGGGCTTTGTTCAGTATTCTGCAAAGTACTTTTGCACTGCGGCCCACAGTAGCGAAAGGGAATCGGGTTAATATTCCCGACCCTGTCCATGGAGATTGGTGTGCGTCAGACCTTTGGTTCTGCGTGCATCCAGCGCGGTAACGCAACCGACCTTGCAGACGTTCGCGAGAGTTCTGGAAACAGTTCTCTCTTCTTTGTTAGGAGTGCATCCACCTTCTGGATTCGGCTTGTCCGGAGATAGGGGGCTAGCCTCTGTACGGCACCACCTTTCTCGTCGTTTACGGAACGCTCTTGTCTGTTCTTAAAAATCCAAGCAAGGCAGTATAATTTTCGTGGCAGGCCGTACCCATATCCGGAGCAGGTCTCCAAGGTGAACAGCCTCTGGCAGTTGAACAATGTAGGTAATGGAAGTCGGCAAGTAGGATAAGTTACTTCGGGAGAAGGATTGGCTCTGGTGGCCGATTCAGACAGGCCGAGTTCAGATACGTGTCGGTCCAGTTGAAGGCTTGTTTCTTTTCTGCGTGTAAATTAATGGTTGAGAATGTCAGGTTGGAATTTCTAAATAAATGCCTTATTGAAAACCACTTCCCATGGATTTATAACAAAATGCTTCGACGAAAGAAAGTGCGAATGACAAGTTCGAGTCTGAGGAAGTTAACACGAATTCAGATTGACTCTTGCATTGACAAAATAAACCAATACAAAGAAACTTACACACATTTCATACCACTTATTGAACAATTATCCATCATTTGTCATATTAAACTACTAAACATCTTCAAAGATATATTAGACAGAACGGCGAACCGAACATGGACGAAACTTAACCAGTCGCTATCAAAGACTCGAACGATTTCAGAATTTCCAGAAAATCTCACAGAACGTGTTCACAACCTATCTAACTTCAATCTTGACAAGGTTCACCTAGAAGCTGTTTCAATGGGACTAAATTACAATGTACCACCTAAAAGAATCGATCAGAATTTGGTGGACGCCAATTTCGAAAACCTCTACAGCCAGTTCTCAAATTTGACTCCAACATCAGCTGAGAATGAGGCATGGCTCAAAGTCAAATTAGTTGATATATCCCAGCAATTTGCAAACACTCCTATCAACCAAAATTCTTGTCTAACGAATGAGCACGAGGAAGCATTGAAGGAACTTAAGAACAATCCCACAATAACAATCTCCAAACCAGACAAAGGTTCCGGTGTAGTAGTCATGAATAAGGATGACTACATAACGAAAATGAACGTGATCCTCTCAGACTCTGCTAAATTTAAATCAGATTCACAGGTCGATAACGTGAAGTTGGTCGAAAAACAGATATGCCGAGAACTACATCTACTCATGCTTCATGGTTTTATCACCGAGGCCCATTATAAAATGCTCAAGCCCATTGGTACATGCACACCACAAATGTATGGCTTACCGAAACTACACAAGCCTACAACACCTATGAGACCAATTCTTTCCATGATAAATTCACCATACCATAAGCTAGCAAAGTGGCTGAAAGAAATTTTGGATCCTGTTTGTAAACAACTGTCGACACATACTATCCTCGATTCCTTTGAACTTCTCCCAACTTTGGAACACTTAAATATTTCTAATAGTTGGATGTGTTCTTTCGATGTAAACTCTATATTCACAAATGTACCTCTCGAAGAAACTGTGGAATTTATTTGTGACTTCATAACTTCACACAACATAAGAATACCCATTCCTACTACCTATCTTCGAGATCTAATTTTGCTGTGCACAAAGAATATAAAATTCTATTTCCAAGGTAAAGCATATACACAAATCGATGGAGTGGCAATGGGAAGCCCTCTCGGACCTGTTTTAGCAAACATATTAATGGGAATGATAGAAAGGCAAGTGAGTCACTTCATCGCTGGTATTACACTTTACAAACGATATGTCGACGATATTCTTGTCATATTACCACATTCTACAGACATTAATGAAATCAATGATTTATTAAATGCGATTCACCCGAATCTGAAAGTCACTTATGAGAAAGAAAAGAATAATGAATTAGCCTTCCTCGATATCCTGCTCCATCGCCATCCAGACGGATCAATCAGGTGAAAAGTACATCGCAAACCCACCTGGTCGGGACAGTACCTCCACTTCACTAGTTTCTGCCCCATACAATATAAACGTTCTGTTGTCAAAACTTTATTCGCTCGAGCAAGTAGAATCTGCACTGCTGATACATTGAACGACGAATTCAAGCTTATTACTGACACACTTAAATCAAACAGATATCCCGAAACGTTTATTGGTCATCAGAACACAACTATGACGAAGCTGATAGCAACTGGTGTGCCCAAGAAACCAGTGTACCTACAGTTACCTTTCAAAGGTGATCATTGCATGAAAATTACAACCAAACAGACTGCAGCTGCAATAAAAAAGACCTTAAATGCAGCTAATCTGAGGCTTATCGCAACAACCCAATCGATCTCAGTTACCCCAATCAAGTCTCCAAGACCGATTCAGTCCAAATCCCACTGTATTTACCAATTCACATGTAACTGCGGAGAAAGTTACTTAAGGAGGACAGATCGCCGATTGGAAGACAGGATGGGGGAACATATTCCAAAATGGTTAATCAAATCCATGATTAATCAACCTAGCCCATCATTTGAAAATCGATCAAGAAACCCAGCCTCGTCCATTGCAAAACATCTAATGATGAGTGGTCATCAAATTGACCCAAAATCAGCCTTTACAGTTGTGACATGTAATCGAAACCCATACACGCTGAAACTACTCGAAGCTATATTGATTGGTCGGAAAAGTCCAACTTTATGTGTTCAAAAACAACTGTATGTTGACCTTTGTTTACCATGGTTCTAGTGAGTGAATGTCATGCCAAATAAGAAATTTTGACCTTATCTTCAAAACTGTATTTACACAAATAACATGTTGCTTGTATGTGACTGACGAGAAAGCACGAAATGGTACTATCTCACAAAATATGTCTTCTTATTTCTCTATTCAAATTTATCAAAGGGAACCACGGTTTTGAATTTCTTCGACTTTTACCTTATCCGCTCACGAAATCTACAACCCGCTCAAATTAATTGATATTTCAGTTAATCAATTCGTCCCTTTTTTTATAAACTAATTTCTGATACTCAAATAAGATTTGCGACAGCACACTGAGAAACATCAGACTGCATTAAATAAGATTTTCACAAAAATAATATTAACCAGTTGAATGTTTACTACTGACAAGAAATCGATAAATTTTGTAATTGTGACCATAAAATTTAACGAAATAATGATAGCTTCAAATTTCTGTTAAATATATACCCAGATTATCGATGGTCTGATATTTTTCACTAAAAAAACAGATTATTTGTCGTAGAATAAATGTATTCAATCATTTTGATATAAAATTTGACCAGGCGACTTGCAAAGGCATGGAATTTGGTTGACTCCATTGATTTGAAAATTACTTTTTCAAACTTATTTTGAAAATCTTTTCACTGATATTTATTTGTCTACGTATTGGAGCTGACTATTAGTATGGAGTCACAGTATTAGTGTCATATCTCAATACGAACAGAGGATTTCAGTCATACGATACGACATAAGATGAAGTAAATGGATAGTACCGATCAATTTATTTTTCATGGAGAGGTAAAAAATAATGCAGTATAAGATAAGGAACAACTTAAATAGCAGCTGTGAAATGCATGTGTAGTTTGTCTATACCTCAGGTTCTGTCAGAATCAGTTTGGTGGATCAATGAACTGACCCATTTATGAACTGAAGTTGTTAGAGCTGTGAAGATGCTTGAATTTCATTGACAGCATGAAATTTTCCGTGGTAGTCGAACAATGATAGGCTTATAATATCAGTGAAATATTTGTCGATATTTCATGAAGCCGAGTAAATTATGGTGATAAGTAAGACTATTCCATCTATGGGTAGTTAACAACTTGTCGTTTTTTCTGTTACACATAGATTTGTTTTATTGTGACAGTCAATCTCATATCATACAAACTGTTGCTATTAATTTGTTTTTGGAAACAATTTGACATTTGATTACAGCTGAATAATTATAAATGAAACAAATTTCGAAATGAGGCTACGTACGTATTGAAAGAATTTGTCTTAGATCTCAGTGTTATCAATACTTGAGTTAACACAAAAATTATGATCATAAATGTCATCATAAGTAAAACCGTTTGGTGGCGGTCCAGTGGTCCAAACGTTAGGCGTTCGCGCACAATACCGAAAGTCTCGCGTTCGAATCCTGCGACGTTCAGGAGTCATGAGTGCGCACTGCTATAGATAAGTAGTCCCATACCAGGACGAAATGGCCAGTGGTTCAGTGGTTCCAGATTTCTAATGGTGGCCTAACAAGGATTGATTGATGATTTCATATGTGTTGTTGTTATCAGTGTTAGTGGCTACAAATAATTAGTCCCATTAATTTCGAGTGAAGGTAAACTTGTGCTTTCATCATTTACAAAAATAAATGTGTTTGCCAAAGTTTGA